TTTTCTTTTATATTTTACCTACTCATGTAGAATAATATACTTTGTGGAGTTAGAGATATTAATATTTGTTTACTTATATTTGAATATTATCCTGGGATTAGGTTTGGGAAGTCCGGGGGGGTGGGGGGTGGGTTTTCTTACAGTATTGTGTAATATTTGTGATGTTTTTTTCTATGATGAAAAATAATAAAAAATTTATATTGAAAAAAAAAAAAGGAAATATTAGATTGGCCTTTGTTATTTTAAAATTATATTTAAAACCCCGCTAAAAATTACCCCTTAGGCCAGTCCTGCTAGTTGAAATAGCCATGTCTTAAGGGCGCGGTTGAAGTCCGCGGTTGAAGTTGAAGTCCATACCTCTTAAAGTCCCTGAGGTTGAGAAACACTGGTCTAAGTAAAATGTGGGCACTGATAGTCACTGGTTGCCGTGAATTATATTAACCTAGTTAATATAATTTGGACCTTGTTTCTCTTAAGGACTCTGAAACAGCTTGACCAGTGAGTTCCTGCCTTGATAGTCTGTCAGAGGTCCCCATGCTTCCTTTCACACATCCATCCATCCATCCATCCATCCAAATGCATCCCCCCCAAATGTGATGGATCAAAAGAGCACAAAAAGGCCTTCCAAACTGAGGTAGGGGTTTTGGGTTCGAGAGAGGCTGTTCCAGCCCTTCAGAAGTATCTCAGGATGTTCAAAATTCTTTTTGGAAGGAGAGGACGGCCTCTTTCCTGAACCAGGAAGTTGAAGAAGGTCTTCTGTGCTTGGAAGGCTTGGTCAGAGCAGGCCACCCAAGCTGGAGATGCTTCATCTTTGGAGGCAGTGACAGATCCTGGGTGAGTCTACCTGGGGACTCTCCCCACTACCCAGCTGTTGAGGTCTACGGGGCTCACCACGAAACTTCTGCAGGAGGCTCTCCATCAGGCAGGTTAACGGCAAGGCCAGCAAGGCCAGGATGAAGGCCACGTTGAAGTTCAGGAAGCCATTGATGAAGTAGAAGGACCAGGGCTCTGTGCCTGCAGGAAGGAAGAAAAAGGTCAGGCGCTCCCTGGAGGATCTATCCCAGCCAGGAGTGTGTGTGTGTGTGTGTGTGTGTGTGTGTGTGTGTGTGAGAGAGAGAGAGAGAGGTGATCACTTTTTGTAACCACAGCTGACTTCCAATAAGCAAAGTTTTATTTCCATGGGGAAATAAAGCCTGGTGCCAGAGCCAAAAACCCAGGGAGGGGAAAGGAAGACCATGTGACCAGCCCACCAGCATCCCAAAACATTTTCTCCTGCCTGCAGATAGACTCACCGTAAAGGTCTGGCCCATGTGGGGTGAAGACGTTGTACAAGATGATGTTCAGAGGGGCTACCACCAGCTTCCCGTAGTGGTAGCTATCGATGGCCACCATGGGCACCTTCGTTGAGAAACAAACCACCATTCAGAACTTTGTCCTGCACTTTGGACCATGTTGTGCCAGCACTTGGATTCCCCAGTTTGGAAAATGCAAGATTTAGCTTAGTGAAAGGCGGGTTGTCCTCTGGGGTGAACGGTGATGCAGAATGACTGCTCTACCACAACTTAGGAGACTCACCAGAAACACCAGTAGAGACACCAAAGACCATTGCAGGAAGCTCTTCCACCGTCTTTTCAGGACCAGCAAGTCGAAGGCAATTGGGAGGCTGCCCAACGGAAGACCGGGGGATGGATTAGTGAAGGCGCGGGAAACTATTTTAGCTCAACGTAATACCTAATAGCCCAACCAAGGAATTACCAACTCAGACAAACAATCAAACAGTAACCAACAGCCTACTCAAGGAAGCACCAAGGTGATTCCCACCAACACAGACAGAGCCAGTCACCAGTACATATATGGAGCAAACCCTACTTCCTTCCGGTACTGATGCTACCTAGTTGGGTCTGTAAGAAAGCAGCCAAGCTCAGAGAGCACAAGGACTCCCCAGTCCTCCTCTTCCTCCTCCCCCACTCCAAGCCCTCCTCCCTTCTAGCACTGATGATGTTACCTAGTTAGGTAAAGAAACATCTGTAAGAAAGCAGCCAAGCTCAGAGAGCACCAAGGACCCCACAATTCTCCTCCTCTTCTATTTTTTCTTCTCCTCCACTCAGCACACCCTACTCTCTTCTAGCACTGCTGATACTACCTAGTTAGAAAGGTGGTATTTGGGAAGCCTCCTCCAATCCCAGTTCCCAAATGTTCAACCCTGGCAACTTTCAGATGGGTGGATTTCAATTCCCAGAATTCCCCAGACAGCACAGCTGAAGTCCACCCCACCTTAAAGTCATCAGGGTTGAGAAACACGGTCTCTGGGTGCTGCTGTTCATGGCCTGCCACATTTGTACTCAGGGTTAAATTGCAGGGTCCTTGGTGCTGAGGTTTTCTATTGTAGACGTTTCAAGACCCAGCTAGGTAACATCATCAGTGTCAGAAGGGAGTGGGGTTTGCACTGAGGATGTTGGCCACCTTAAAGTCACCACCCAAGGTTGAGAAACGCGGTCTCTGGATGCTGCTGTTCACAGCCTGCCATCCTGAACATTTCCATCATCTCTCCTTCTGACTCCCACTTACCCAAGGGCTGCACTGAACGGCCAGCCCACAATGGCTCCCGCGGCCACGCCCAGGACCGCCAACGAGGTTCGGTCCATGTACCAGCCTGTCATTGCTACGATGGTACAATACATGCAGAAGCTGCTGGGAAGGAAGGCTGAAAAGAAGAAGAGGCAGGAGGGAGAGATTGGCATCTGGAAAGCCACCCGGGCATGTCTGCCACGACGGGACAGGACTCTCTCAGGATGGAGGCCAGTGCACACCAGGAGCAGGCAACCCAAAAGAGGGATTTTACTCAGCTATGCTAAAGATGCTTTTTCACGAGGCAACTGGACTTTCTTGGTTTTTTTGTTTTAAGATGTCTCGCTTCTCAACAGAGGGGGAGGGATACGATACCACCTATCTTCAGTCTACAATCCTTTCAACAGTTCCAAGAAGGCTCCCTACACACTATTCAGATGACCCTGAGGGCACAGATAAACCTCCAAGTGGCCTCAACGACTCTCTGAAAGAAGGCAAATGACCAGCTGGTCTGCAAGGAGTATAAATCCTTCCGTTCCCCACCATCCAGTCAGAGCTGAAGAAGCTTCTTGGACGAGAAGGGAAATGTCTTCAAAGAAAAAACAACCAAGTCCAGTTGCCTGGTGAAAAAAGCATCTTAGGGATAACTGAGACCTGATGATGGAGAATCTCCATAGATAAATCTGTGTGCAAACAGAGTGGGCTTCAAGAATTAGGGCGCCATCTTTCCCTTCTCGAATCTGCAGAGAATCAGCAGCTGTCAGTACGTCTCCCTCTGTCTTCAAAACCAAAGGCCCCTCAACATTTCCTTACAGATGGTCCTCAACGTATGGCTGGTCCTCACACTCCTGACTGCTGCAACTTCCCCATGACTGCAATCCAGGGGTTTGTCAACTGGCTCACCATGATAATCACTGCAGGGTCCCGGGGTCACGTGATCGCCATTTGCAACCTTACTAGCCAGCCTCCGAATAAGTGAAGTCAACGGGGGAAGCAGCAGGGAAGATTACAAATCACAATTGTGTGATGTCTCGCTTAGCGACTGCAGTGATTCACTTAACGACCGCGGCAAAAAAGGTCATAAAACTGGGTGCGGTCTCGCGATGCCTTGCTTAATGATTGCACTGCTTAACAAAGAATTTTCCAGCCCCGGTTAGGTGATCTTAAGTTGAAAACTAGATGCACTTAATCAAATGGCAAAATCGGTCCCTGCCCGACTCGTTTCTTCACTTACCTGGGGCTGAACAGAACATCCCGGTACTAAGTATCAGGAAAGCCAGCATAAGTCTGCTCACGTGAAGCCCAAATTTCTTGCACACAGCCCTGGGAAACAGAGAAGAGAATCGGAGCCTGTTTGAGGTGGGGCCAAGCACTTAAGGATGGCTTACCTAGCTGAGATCTGCCAGCCTTGGAAAAGGCAGGCCACGCATTCTGTACAAGCAACTATATTTTTAGCTCAGTGATAAAACAGGCCTGCTGCTTGTGGAAGACTCCAGAGTGGAAGTGAAATGGAGTAAAAGCGAGCAAAGTATCCCAGTGATCTAAAACTAAGCTAAGCTAGCCCTAAAGTAAGGGGCTGCCACAGAGAAGGGGGGGGGGGTGTCAACTTATTTTCCAAAGCACCTGAAGGTAAGACAAGGAAAATATGAATGGAAACTAATCAAGGACAGAAGAAACCTGGAATTAAGGAGAAACTTAATTAAACTTAATTAGCACAATTAACCAGTGGAACAGCTTGCCCTCAGACTTTGTGGGCGTTCCATCACTGGAGATTTTTAAGAAGAGACTGGACAGTCATTTGTCTGTAATGGTATAGGGTCTCCTGCTTGAACAGGGGGGTTGGACTAGAAGGCCTTCAAGGTCCCTTACAACTCTGTGATTCTGTTTTGTTCTGTTCTGTTCAAACTGCTTCTGAAGCACTTGCTATCTTGAGCCCTTAACTCCTTTCCTAAAATTCTCGCTGGGCATCAGCCTCAAAGCAGCAGAGAAACAATACAATACAATACAGTACAGTACAGTTATGGCTGTACCCAATTCTTCTAATATTGCAATGCACTTTTTTTTTTTAAAAAAAATGGTATTCTACCATTTAACAACCTGGATAAAACAATACAGAAACCTACAGTTTTTAAAAAATTTAATTGATTCAGGCTTTCAGTGTGGCTGAGAAGACATGGATATCTTAAAACATGCCCAAGAGTTTTGTCACCAGTCAAGAATATATGTAGCTCAAACTGAACTATTGTGTATTCTCTGAATCTTGGGATTTTTCCGGCAGACGTCTCATTACCCGGCCAGTGCATGGGGGAATGAAGTTCGCTGGCTGTTTTGCCAACAAATTCTGCTCCTTCAGATATGGATGATGTGACCTAGCCTGGTAATGAAACATCTGCAGGAAGCCCATCAAGATCGGAGAATCCTAGGAACCAACATTTTTGCTGCAGTACTTTGCCTTAACTGTTACACAGCAGATTGAGAAATGCACCTGACAGCCACACAGTGCACAAAGATAACCGAGGAGGCCCTCGCCGATACTCACTTATAAAAATAAAGCTCGCAAACACAACTCAGGAAGGCCAAAAGGCAGCGCAGGAAGTAGAAGATGAGGACCTAGGAAGAACAGCTCCTGTTACATAACTTCTAGGAACAGACGGCGGTTGTGTTCACACAACATGCAGAGTGATAAACTTGCCAGGTTTTTTTTCTTCCCAATTCGATCCAGTTTGCCATTCGATATGTCAGGTTGATTAAATCATGATTCGATGAGACCTGGGTTTGTCATGTCGCAGAAGAGCAAAACTGCAGGCCTCAGAGCTGCCTCCCTCCCTCCCACATGAGCCTTTCCCCCAGCCTGGGCATGGCAGAGTTGCCAATAAAGCCACAACCTGGGAGCTGCAACCTCCCCAAAGAGGAAAAGCACAGAGGCCTACAACACACAATGTAAAAAAAGGGGAAAGAGCTCTACCTGCTGGCCAAGAACAGCAAGAGGAGAAGGAATCTCAGAGAGAGGAGACTCAAGACAGGGGAGGTTTAAGAAAGAAATGTTAATGCACACAGCTAGTCCTCGCTTAGCGACCATTCAAAATTACAATGGACATTGAAAAGGGATTTATGACCTGCATTTTGGGTGCTCAGCAACTTGTCCCCCATTATGACCATTTGCAGCATCCTGGGGTCATGTGACTGTGATTTGGGTTTTCCAGGAAACAAGCATTTACTTCCGGTTTCTGGCTGAAAACGCCCCATAGTGGACAATGGTTTTGCTTAATGACCTTGCCATTTGCTTTACAAACAGCCATGTTCACTTAACCACCACCAAATGAAGTCATAAAATCAAGTGCAGTCATGTGATCTTCCTTACGCCTGTCACAACTTACAACCAAAATTGTGGGCTTAATTATGGTTGTAAGTCAAGGACTACTTTTACTAATAATAATACAGAGCATAATATGTACAGTAATAGAGTATAGAATACTGAATAGTGATGGTATAGAGCATAGTAATTGCCTTAGTAGTAGTAACTCTCATAGTAATAACAGAAAGATAGCAATAGAACTGAATAAAAGAAACACCAACAAAAAAAATTATTTGGCTTCAGGCCGGGATACAGCACGGAAACGGCATTGGTCACATTGGTAAATGATCTCTGGAGGGCCCGGGACAGGGGTTGTTCCTCTGTCCTAGTTCTTTTGGACCTCTCAGCGGCTTTTGATACGGTGGACCACGGTATCATGCTGCGGCGTCTGGTTGAGTTGGGAGTGGGAGGCACGGTGATGCGGTGGTTCTCCT